CCCCCCCCCACTCCCCCGTATCATACGCGGGAGCCTTCCCTCCTGAATGTCGTATATTACTACATTACGGTATTATTATTTCACATATCGGAACGTTTCCGAGTGTGCGTACCGCGAGGCGCACCAGGCCATGAGGCACACGCGCGTTACGCCAACCTTCCCACGCCGTTTCCAAACTGCCTATGCCCCGCACATGGGTCCCATTTTATTACCGTAATATGCGCCGTTCCACTTGTGTATGTGTGTGTCTTCTTGTACGGGCAATAATGGCTTAATTCTGGGTAATTTGGCAGGATAGTTGTTGCTTGCAAAAGAGGGTATTAAAAACAAATTTAAAATAATCTTATTGTAATGTTGTTGTTTTTTTAAAGTTGGGTGGGTTTGTAAAGTAGTGAAACAGTATTTTGCAGAAGCTGTGTCGAAAGTTTACTGAAAATGAGAGCTCGACTTAGCTCGCTGCTGCTCACGCCTGCGGTCCCCGCGCCGTGGCGCTCTATCCTCTCGCGTCCTTCCGCCTGTCCGACTAGAGATTGGTAGCCGACTCTTTTGTTTCGTGCTCTGTCTTTTGTTTTTTCTTTTTTTTTTCTCTGATCCCTTCATTGCGCTGCACGGCAGCAGCAGCAGCCGCCGCCGCCGCCACCGCGCCACCACCCAATATGAAAGTCAAAGAGGGAGGGGAGGATGGGGAGGGCGAGGGTCGGGCCTACTACCGCTCCGGCGCCACCACGCCCAGCCACGCCCCGCAACGCCCGCCGCGCCCCAGCTCACTCAGTTGTCTACGACTCGGAATGCACGGCTATTAGTCAGCCCAGCCGTAGTGCACCGCGCGCGCACGCCAGCCCGGTGCGGTGCGCGGGGTGGGGCGGGGAAGGCGTACTTAGGGAGGGCGGGGTGTGGCGCGGGCCGGAAGGGGGCCCGCCTCACGTTTTTAACGGCGACCCTCCTCCTCCTCCTTACTTTCAATCACGTCGTCGCGACGCGATTTCCACATCTATTGAACGCCGACATCGAGGAACAGAGCGGAACCATAGAGAATTGAGCGCCTCGACGTTATTGCCAGCAGCAGCAAAATGAAAATGCATAATAAATGCTCCAAAGTTGACGTTTTGGCGCTTTTCGCGTGTTATTGTGTTTTGTTTCTCTT